CCAGAGTTCTTGTGTTTGCTACTACTATTGTACAGTTCCATTTTAGCCTTATTAATTTATAGGGAAGCTATTTTAATTTTCTCTAAATCCTTCCATATATGTTGAGGAAATTCATAAATCCATACAACAAATACTTAAGAGGCTCACTTATGGTCCTAGGATAAGATACTTTTACAAGCTGGGTATTTTTCCACTCATATATGTGGCTTAGAATAAATATAATATTATTTGTTCCTCTTGGCACTTTTACTGAGCATTGTGCTTATCTTTGTTAATACTGGGAAGAGCTAGAGAAGTAGAGTTGGAGCTCAGGGTATCATCCAGATAGAGAGAAAATATCACTGTCTGTGGCAGCCCTCAGCTTCTAGCATTCACGCATTAGAGCAGGTCTAGCTTTTCATTGATTCCTTACCCCTAACTTATTCTAGCACAGGTGGGGGTTGATCTCTTATTGGCTTGTTTTCTTCCTTCAGCCCAGTGAGATGATTAAGCATTTAACCATTGTTGGTTCAACAGCTTTGGGGATGAATTTAATTAAGTCTTTCTACTCCCTAGATCATGTTGGCCAGTATTTAATTTCTAGTTTATGATACATGTAAAGCCAACACATACTCATTTTATGATTGCCAGTACTATTAGTGTTATTAATAATAACAATGACAGATAACGTTTTTGTTTTCTTACCATATGTCAGGCAGTGTTCTAACCTCTTTATGTTCCATAACTTATTTAATCGTAACCAACCCTCTCAATGAAATAAGTACCTTTTTACAGATGAGAATATTGAGGGACAGAGAGGCTAAGTAACTTGAGCAAAGTCAAACTAACTAGAAAGTGGTAGAACCCAAATTCAGACCTGGGCAGTTTGGCTCTAGAGTCTGTGCTCCTCACCATTATTTCATACTGCTTCTAAACATCTTTAGTTTGACTTTTACTTTTTGAATGAAAATTATATAGTACGCAGTCTAATACCTGCTTCTCCTTTATTTCTAACAATACTTCTGTCAGAATTTCAAGTAATCAAAATCTAACAAGAGAAAATAGGCCTGTTAAAGTTACTTTATGTAGATAATATAGCAGGCTCCATTGACAAGGTTTTTAAACAGAATGTAAATCGGTCTACTTTTAAAGCTTTTTAGCTCTTTGTGCTTGTATTAATTTCCTCTTCACTTTGTGATATAGACTGAACTTTCTGATAAAGACTTTGGATTAGGAAATTCCTACCACATTGTCTTTTGCCTTTTCTTCACTGCATATGTTTTATAAATTAATGTAGTTCTCCATCTAAAATTCATCTGATTGCATTAATTTCAATAAGCACCTACTAAGTGCGAAAAACTTTACTAGATTCTGAGGATAAAGGAGGCATACACTCACCCTCAAGGAACTTATTGTGTAGATCTAGCAAATGTCAGGTCCCCTTCTCTATCAAGCCTTCCAAACAACTCCAATTAAAATGAATTCTTTCTTCTTTGGTACTCTTCTCAGTTTGCTGAAGCATTTCATAAAATACTTATTATTATCAGATCACCTTGATATTGGTCGCAGTTTTGTATCTCTGGTAGGATTGTTGAGGGCTTATTATGTTCCCTAGCCCTCATCTTGTATAGATAATGTGTCTAACAATAAATCTAAACACATAATTCATACACGACAATCTATACGTACTATAGTAAAGGTACAAAAAATAAAAATGGAAACACAAAGGAGAAAACTATTACGGTGGAATTTAGAAAATCTTGATGGGAAAATATTATTTGATCTTGACATTTCTTGAAATAGGTAGAGACAAGGACAGGCTATTCCAGATAGTTGGAATGATGTGAGCAGACACAGGAGCAAGAATAAGTGTAAGGTGTTAGAGGAACAGCAAACAGTTTGTTGTGGCTGAAGGTGGGATTCCTGGATGAGGGGTATGGTAGTCAATAAAGTTTGTAAGATAGTTTGGAATCAGGTGGAATCAGTTCCTACCAAGAAATTTAGGCTTTATTCTATCGTTGATATGAAATCATCATCCTACAGGAAGGTTTATTAGGTAGTAGGATGGAAGCTATATTTAAGAGATACAGAGGGATTGGTTAGGAAGCAAAACTGTTGTAAAAAATCTAGGCATGAGTAACACAGATCTGAATCAGTGCAGGAGCAGTGAAAATAGGAAAAGAAGGGATTGATATTGGAAATATTTCACAGGAAGAACTGAGGGGACATACTTGGTAACTAATCGAACATGGGAGAATTGTGAAATGGAAGCATCAAAGATAATATGAAGGTTCTGAGCCTTGTGGACCACTAACTCAGAATTCGGAGTATCTAGGTACATTTTCATCTTTCCAACCATCCTTTAAGTCAAATAGAACAAATTTTTTCTATCCCTCATTCCTTATGGATGGGGAAACTGAAGGTCATAGTTATGACTTACTCAAATTCCTGTTATTATAAAATGGCAGCGCTGAGATTCAAACTCAGCTCTTTTACTCCCAGAAGGTTTTACCATGCTGAGTTTGAGGTATTGGCAGAATGTGGATATGTTTAGTAAGTTTTAGCATTTACATAAAAATAATAATTGAATCATGGGTGTGAATGAAACTTCCAAGGAAGAAATTGTAAATAAAGAAGAGAAAGGGAATCATGAATTGGATTTTTGAAAATACATGCATTTAGGGGATCAGTTGAATAGGAAGAGCCAAGTAAAAAACTGGGAAAGAACAAAGAAATAGGAAGAGAATTGGGAATGTAAAATGTTGCTGGAAACTAAGAGAGAGTATGAGAATGAAGAAACTCATCAAAGAAAGGTGTTATGGAGAAAGATGGGGAATAGGAAAAGTCATTTAATTTAATAAAAACTAGGAGATTTTTAGAAACCTTTGAGGAGAGTCTTTTGGGAAGAAGCCTGAAAGCCAGATTACACTGGGTTGAAGAAACTGTGTGAGGTAAAAAAAGAAGAGGCAATGAGTTTGGACTACTTTTAAGAACTTTGTTTAAGCATTTGTAATTTGTGGAGATACCAAGATAAAAGGCTTAGAAGTACAAAAATAAAAAGCAAAGTATAATATAACTTTTCCCTTTTTTCCCTCCTTTTATATGTTTATCTTCTTAGGGATATTAGGTGGGTATATCTTATGCTTCCTACTCCCAAATTACCTTGAGTTGAACTTCATACTGTTCTAGGTATGTCATCTGACTCTCATACATGTCTTGACTAATACCTCATATAAAGCTGAGCTCAAGGAACCCTAGTATATCAACAGAGTCAAATATGGCATCATTTACATTTCAGACAACATCAAAGAGTTTTAAATAAAAACCTTTTTTAAATAAAAAGTTAGTCTAGTCAGTCAAGATGGCAGAATAGACAGTCGCCAGTGTCACTCTCTCCCACAAATCAACCAATTTGCAACAATTAAAAAGCAATAACAGGGCTGGCCCCATGGCTCACTTAGGAGAGTGCGGTGCTGGTGGCACCAAGGCGGCGGGTTCGGATCCTATATGGGGATGGCCGGTGCGCTCACTGGCTGAGCGTGGTGCAGACCACACTGTGCCGAGGGGTGCGATCCCCTTACTGGTCAAATAAATAAATAAATAAATAAATAAATAAATAAAAAGCAATAACAGCCAAGTTGGGGCTACTACAGCTCAGGGGAAGAGGAGGAGAGACCTATGGAGTGCATGAAGACAGGAGAGTCCACGATGAGAGAAAGAAAGAACTCCAACCGTTTCAGGCCCCAGCTGCTTCAAGGCTGGAGCTGGTGAGTGCACAGAGCAGAAGCTGGCAGAAGCTGCAGCTGTGCCCTTTGGATGAAGTTGCTTGGAGGCAGCAGGAGAGGAGAGGGCCTTGGTGGCCCCCAGGCCAGCAAGACTAACAGTTCCCGTGGACCCACATAAGACCGAGGAGCCACAACAACTGAAAAAAAGGATCCACTCAGAGGTCAGTGAGTCATCACAAGAGACTGGCGCACGGTCTGTGCCATGGGAAGTGTTTGCAACACAGGCAGTGGGGGAGACAGGCCCGCTGGGGGAACACTGGGGCACAGCAAGGACAGCTGACCTGCCCCCCAGTCAGCACAGGCCCACTCAGTGGAGACTGGTCAGGAATACAGAACTGCAGGGGTGCAGTTTGCTGAAAAGACTCAGGCCCAGACCAGAGTTTCTACACAACCCAGGTGTACTAGATCTCACAAGAGCAGGAAGTACTATAAAGTCAACCATTAATACTTGAGCTTCACAAAAAGCCTTCCCTAGGGAATCAGCAGCAAAGCAGCAATTTAGTTCAACCACAGGGCTCAAGTATACTGGTCCCCCAGGAAGTTCCTCCATTTTAGAAATAAGCAAAGGACAACTAATTAGTTCTAGTGCAAAGTTTAAGTGGTAGGAACATCAAATAATCCAACACAGAACTGGAAGAAAAAACAAAATACCCACAACCAGAGACAAAGTTTGATATTGACTAGTAAAGGTCTCACATCATCAAAGAACACCTATAAAACCTAAAAGGACCAGAATCCCCCTGAACTGCCAAGCCAGGGAGTATGGAGGGCTGGGGGCCTCAGCCACGCCCCCCAACACCTGCAACCAGCCCAGAGATGACCACCAAGCCACTGCAGTAAGCACCCTGGGCTCCTGAGCTGGGGTGATGAGGGGGCAAGGGCATCAGCCACACCCCCCTGACATCTGCACCCAGTCCCGCAATGACCAAGACGCCACTGGAAGCCCCCTGGTCTACCATGGAGGAATGAGGGGGGTGCCACAGGCCTCAACCCCACCCCTCCTCCTTCCTCCTTCCTCCTTCTCCCACACTATTAACTTCCCTTTCCCTTTTTCCCCTTCCCCCAACTGCTCTGTAACATCATAGAATGCAAAATAATAATAATAAATAAACTTAAAATAAATAAAAAGTTAGAAATATTTTTGTTTTCATTACTATCTACACCTGAATTTTTAAAAAATTTCTTATGTAATATATTTGTATTATAACTTTATGTTTGTGCTTATTTTATTTAAAGGATGGAATGGCCTTATGTATGTTCATGCAAAACACTTTAACAAGATTTATGAGGTAATGTATCTTTCTTTTTAAAATATGATTTCTACAAGACCAAAAATTGTCCTTTATTATTTCATTATTTGCACCAGTTAAAAAATAATAGCTGATTTTCAAATTACATTTAATCTAATGGTGAACTATTTCTTTGTGCCATCAGGACGGTCATTTACTTTAATGTTAGTGAAGTAAACACAAGTATTTTAAGAAGAGAAATGAGGGATAAAAAGAATTTAAGACATAGCCCTTTCCGTAGAGAGTGTGTATAACTAGTTATAGTAAGCAATAGACATGGGAGTGGTGTGTAAGAAAGTTTCAATTACTTTAGACCTGTAGCTTTGCATTTTGGTTAGAACTTACAAAGAATTTGATACTCTGAAAACATTTTAGATTTACCTTATAGTATTTGCACACTTTGCAACGTGGGCTTTGAAAGCAGAAGATATACAAGATTATTTTTACCACAAAATCATGCCTTTTATAGGATTAGTCTGTGGATCATTTCAAGCAGTAATGAGAAAATTTTTGATAGGAACCTTCATAAGACAGCTTTGGAGCTCTCTCCTGTATCACATTTCTTCCCATTGGATACAGCCTTAATTTTCCCCCCTTTAACCTGGTAGCAATAAAAGTGGACTAAGACAATATCACATTGAATTATTTCCTATTGCCAGCTGCTGAGAAGTTCCAGGAGTGATAAATTATACAAAAGCATCCATTTATTTGGAAGGAAGTTACAATATGGCTACAGTTTAAAAATATATGATGATTCAGGGAGGTGTTTTGATAAACTTATACATGGCATTTAGTATAAATTAGCTTTAGTATCATACTGTTTTTCTTAGTATGGTGCACAGGTTCCACTAACCTTTGATGTGTGTTATTATAAACACAGTGCAGTAATTTTGTTTCCATTGCATTTTAAGATTTTTTAAAAATAACATTTGTAAGTTAATATTGAAATTAAAAATGTTAACATCCATTTTTTCCTTCAATATACAGACTTCCTTTAATAAGTGTCGCGCTGGTTCAGGGGCGAGCATTGGGTGGAGGAGCAGAATTTACTACAGCATGTGATTTCAGGTAGGATGAAAATTGCATTACTTCTTGCATAAATATAATTAACATGCTCAAATTTATTTTTTGTCTTAATATCAATATTTTATGTATACTTAAACAGAATAATCAATTAGTATACATCTTCTTTTCATTGGTCATTAAAATAACTTTAGTATAATTGCTATGCATTTCAAAAAAAATAACAAAACACAATGATTTTTTGAATAAATCAAATCCATAGTAGCAAAACCTCTGTGGAGGAAACCTAAAGAAATATGTGAAACTTTAAAATTTAAAAGAATAATACAAAGGAAAGTAAACAACTGAAAAAAGGGAAAAGAGAATGGAGAAAGAGAGACTGCTATAGCTGTCCTCTTACCAATAAAAAGAGCTTTCCTGGGATCCATTTCATATGTTCACTCTACTGTGATTTATAGCAACTTTGTGGAGCTTTTGAGCAGTCAAGGGAATCAAGTTTGAGAAAGTTATTTGGGACCAACTCTTTAGTCCCTAGAATTATTTTCAGTGTTTTATTGCTATACTATATAGGAATGACATTTTGCAGAATCTAATGCTTTACATGTGCTTGAAACTGCTTTCTCAGCACCATTCCCAAGACTTAGTAGCACAGCTATAAGAAAACCAGTACAGTGATCTGCAATCTGTACTGGCTTACACACTTGAGCTTCTTTATAATGCAAAAGGTAATACACTACAAATAGCATAATTAGGGGGAAAATGGCAAAACGGTAAAGATCAACCAGAGTCTATTTCTTGTGTATGTTCTGGTAAATTTAGGAATTCATCTTTTTCGTATAAATTTACAAATGTAGTGGAATAAAGTAGTTCATAATATTCTTTTATAACTTTTTAATATCTTTAGGATCTGTGATAATATTCTTTTCATTTCTCCTATTTAGAATTTGTTCTCTTTTCCCCTCTTCTCTCTCCCCCCTCCTCCTCCTTTCCCTCTGCCTGTCTCCGTCCTCCCCCCGCCCCTCCTTTCCTTCCCTCTCCCTCTCTGTCAGTCTTAGTAGGTAGGGGTTTATACATTTTATACATCTGGAGACAGATAGGTTCAATCCCAATTTGCTACTTTTATCTATTTGGCTTTAAGCAAGTAACTATTTTACCTCTCTATGCCTTGTTTTCTTTATCTATAAAATGGAAGTATTGTCCTTAAATATTTATAGATAGATTTAAATGAGATAATGAATATATAGGTTTTATCATAATGCTTAACCTAAAGTACACATCAATGTACACATAATATTTTTGCTTAGAGTTTTAAGATTACCTTATTCTACTCTCTTTTACAGAAATGCCAATGTGGTAACATTCTGGCATGTTTTTATACTCATTCCCTTTTCATTTGGGATGTTCACTTGTTATTGAATTCTAGTTCTTTATGTATTCTGGATAAAAGTCCTCTATATAAGTCAAATATAGTACCTATTTTGTTACATATAAATACTGTGACAATATATTTTCTCCCAGCCTGTGGCTTGCTTTTTCATTTTCTTATTAGTGTCTTTTGAAGAGCAGAAATTTTCAATTTCTAAAATGTTTTTAGGTTCTCCTTGTGAAATAATTGCAGACTTATGAAAAACTTGGAAAAATCGTACATATAATTCCCTTTCATTTTGTTTTCCCAAATGTTAATATAGTCACAGTACAATTACAAAACCAATTAACATTGATATAATACTTTAAACTAATAATAATTTTAACTAACTTTAATCTACAGACCTCACTTAAATTTTTTCAGTTATCATACTAATGTCCTTTTCCTGGTCCAGGATCCAATCAAGAATCTATTTTGTCTGATATGAATATAGTCATGCCACCTTTCTTATGAGTAACATTTCTGTGGTATATCTTTTTCTGTCCTTTCATTTTAATCTGTCTGCATTGTTTAGAGTCCAATAGACAACATGTATTAGGGTCTTACTTTTTTATCCAGAGTGACAATCTCTGCCTTTTAATTAGAGTGTTTGCATCATATATATATAGTCGATGTTACTATTGATATGATTGGGTTTAAATCTACCATCTTGGTATTTGTTTTCTATTTGTCCCATCTGTTGTTTGTTCCTTCTTATTACCCTTTCTTTCGGTCTGATTTTAGATTCGTTTTATGATTCCATTTTACCTCTACTGTTGACTGTACCACGTACATACATTTTTTTTTTTTTTTGCTAATTGGTTTAGGGTTAATAATATGTATTTTAAAGTTGTCACAGTCCACCTTCAAATAATATGCTACTGCACATAAAATATAAGGACCTTCTGAAATACTTCTATTTCCCTTCTGTCTTTTGTGTATTATTGACATATTGCTTCTACATGTTAAAAATCCACGATTATTATATTTTTGCTTTAAACAATCACTTATCTTTTAAAGAAATAGAGATATGAGAATGAAATGCCATTTTGTTTATTTATATGTTTATCAGAAAGAATATTTGGGTTTAAGCATATTTGAATTTTTAACTTCATGAGTGAAGATAATCATTTCCCTAACAAGAAACTCTCCTCTTCTTGTATTAGATATGCTTTGTTTTATGTTGTGTGAATAGTTTTGAAACTTAATTACTTCTAAAATAGCTGTACCTATATTAATACTGTATCTGAATGATAGACCCACACTGATCTAGTTTTTTGAGAGTATAATGAAAGCTAGGAATTCTATATTAGAAAACTTTACATAAAATGTCTTACATGGACCCTTGGTTTAGAACGCTTTTTTGAAATAGATATTCCTACATTCATAATATTTTATCACAATCTTTTGCGCCTTAAGACAGTTCTTCTGACTACTGGTACAATTCTAATAAGGCCTACCAATACTTTGGTTTTGTGTATAAAAAACATAAATGTTCAGTTTCATAATTTGTTACAAAATTGGGACATATGTAACCATGATACAGGTAAGAATTGGGACATTGCTAGCACTCCCAAAGCCCCCCAATTGCCCCTTCTCTGTCACGACCCCCTCCCTTCCACCAAGGGTTAACTGTTACCTTGAATTTTATGGTAATTTCTTTCTTGCTTTCCTATATAGTTTTATAAGCTAAGTACTCTACAACAAATATATTCTATGTTTTTTCTTTTTCAACTTCACACAGAAATAGTATGGAGAAGATTCAGTATGCTAATTAATTCAAAGTAGTGAATTATTATATTTTTCTTCTTTTTTATAATTTATCATTCAATTTTCAGTTTATCAGTTAAAATATGTAACTTTGTACTCACCTAAATATTTTTAAATAGTTTTGGTGTATAAGACAATTTACAGAGATTCTAGCCTTTTTGAAAATTAGTACTTCCTAATTGAGCAGGGTTCTTGTTCACAATGAAAAATGGTCATTTCATGTGACAGCGCCCTCTACTGTCATCAGTGCAGATTGCATTATGCTGCTATGTTTTATTCTGTGAGGAGGAAACAGTAATTGATTTTTTGGGTGATATTAAACTAAATAGGAAATGCTCTGCGTATTGAAAGGATTAAAGACTTTCCTCACTTTATGCTGAAAAACAGATACTTATGCAATATATAATTTAAACATAATTATGTATGCAATATATAAATATAAAATATATATTTAAATATATAATATATTTAAAGAATTCTAAGCTATATGCAAGTGTGTATTATTACACTTAAAACTTTGCTACCCAAAAATAAATGCAAATTAAGAATTTTTAGATGTCATTTGAAGAAAATGAACACTCTAACATACATAGGGTCTGGTGTTCATCCTATTAGACTTTTGCATTGTCTTCATATTCATTACTCATCTGTGTTTGGTCATAGTTAGGCTTAGGACAAAAGGCAAAAATCACAGGAAGAATAAGCAGAAATTATTTAATCTTTTCATACTGCTAAATTGCCTTGTTACGTTAATCTTAAAATGAAAGAATTATAATCTGTTCTTGAGCCTCATTAAATAATTAATTTTAGTTGTTATGAAATGTCTAAGGATACTGCCGTCTATCAGATACATTCAATAATATACCATATGTATTCACAGAGCAGTTTCCAGTGAAAACATATTCATTTGTGGACCAATTCTTCTATAAATGGTGTCTTCATTAAACATATTTTTAGAACCAACATACACCACTAGACATAGCCATTCACAAAACTTTATGTCTCGGTTTTTTGTTTCATTTTTCTAGTGATACATTTTTATGTTTTACAGAATTATTGGTAATTTTGATTACCAATACCACAGTTGATTAGCAATTAAAAAAAAAAAGCATGAAGAAGGAACTGATCTTGACTGAGGCCACAAGAGGTGGGAAAAGGAGGTGGATGGGAGTTAGTGAGAAATTGGTAAAGGGCCACAAAAAATGATTACATTGTATAATGATAAATATAGGAATAAAAAAAATAAAGTTATCAGAATCCCCATTAAACAAACAAACAAAAAAACCCCCTGATTCTTCACTATTGAAGTTTGAAAAGCACTGTCCTAGTCTACTCAGGCCTTTTAAAACTCACATTCCAGAAGCAACTATGGAGTTCTTAAAAGTTAGAGGCTAATAGACAGTATTGCCTACGGGACAAACTACAGAATATCTGCTTGTTTCAAAAGGACACCAAAAGCTTTCATGGCATTCTGCTAAAGATAAATTCCTTTTAAAGTATATATGTTGGCCCTTTTTAGCTTGTTTAACTTTCTTACCTTGGAGAATTGCCTGGAATTCACTCAACTGACATTTTCATCCATGTCACTCTTCCATTACCAATGGAAAGTAGTTCAGCAGATGGAGATACACTTAATAAGAATATACAAAAGAAATGAGCTCATACAGCATTCTAACACTGCCCACTTCTCCAAGAAACCTGTAAGCACCAGCCAATAGTAGATGTAATGAATATACATGTTGGAAACACTCAGGCCTACTTGGCGTATATAGACCCTCATAATTAATTGCATTATAATTGAGTTATAATTTTCATGTAAAACATTTCAAGAGAAAATGACTTTTTAAAAGCATATTTTAAAGCAACAGAC